CCACTCCTTTGTTTTTCATAATTTGTATCTGTTTTCAACCAGTGATTCATACAACCCACCATTCTCTGAAAAAAAAAAGTAAAAAACAAATGAACAAACAAAAAAAATCAAAGCAAGCAAGCAAGCAAACTGCTCCTGGCCTGGGCAAGAGGACGGCTGTCAGGCAACACAGCCTGGACAGAATAGATTTTCCCTTCGGTCCAGAACTGACCAAGGGGGCTTTAAGCAATTTATTTTAAAAGAAAGATTAAATAGCTGCTAAAAAGATTTCCTTTGTCACCCAGTCAGCACCAGGTATTAGAAAAAAGTTGTAAAAGTTGAAACAAATTAAAGGTATAAGGAGGTCCCAGTTGCTGGAGGTAACTCAAAGGGTGTTTAACAAGAGAACTAAGACAAGACCTTTCGCATAAACTGAAAGCCACCATCACCTTCTCTGAAGATACAACACAGACCTACAGATACCCAGAAAAATGTTGGTGTCTCACTCTCTGTCAGAAGAATATCTCCTAGGTGAAAGCTCTGTCTCCAATCAAAAGACACAGTTGGAATGTCTCTCAGATTTACAACAAAGATTCCTGGGGGTATGGGCAGAAACCAACCCCCCAGGACTGGCCCAACACCAACCTCCAATAATTGTTCTACTAGTCAATTCAGCTACTCCCGTCCAGATTAAACAGTACCCAATGACCCTCAAACAAAAAGGAAAATTGCAGTCTATATTGCCTGGCTTGTACAGATAGACATCTGGGTGTCCTGCCAGTCACCCCAAATTATAGCTCTCCTGCCTGTGAAGAAACCTGGGACCTCCTATTCTCATGAACCTGATTCTTTCAGAGAAACAGCTGTACACTGTCTTGGACCCAAAAGATGCATTCTTCAACCTCTCATTGGCAGAGGTGAGTCAACCTATCTTTTGAAATGGATAGACCTAGAAGGAGGTTACAGTCCTCTATACACTAGCATAAAGTGGGGTGGGGATGTGGGGGCGGGAAAGGAGGGCAACTCAACCCTTAATCTGGATTGAGATGAAACAAAAGACAAAAGAGGTTTTAACCCAAACTTTGGGGTCATGGAAATGCTCTATGATATACCTGTACAAACTATCGGACCCTGCAGTCAAAGGATGGCTCACCTGTCTAAGAACTATGGAAGCTGCAACTAGTTTAATGAGAGAAAAGTTAACTCTAGGTCAAGATCTTATACTCACAGCACCCCAAGATGTGGTTGAAGCCCTTCTCCGAGAAGTTATTAGAATGCTGGCTGTCTAATGACTGTGGGACCCAGTACCAGGCCGCGTTTCTGGCTTACCCTTGAGTCTGGTTTAAGAAACCCACCACACTGTCAATTCAGCTACACTTTTGCCTGATGATCCAGGTGCTCATCCATGACTGTCATGAGATGAAGACTGAAGCCAGGTACATGGGAGCTGCAGTAGTTATTTTAACTGAAACAATTTGGGCCCAAGCCAGATACAGAGCAGAACTGATTGATTTGACCCAGGCTCTCAAATTGGGGAGAGGAAAGTCCACCACAATAAGCGACTATCAGTCAGCATGCTTTTACTGCCTGCTATGTCCATGATGTGATTCATAGAAAGAGGTCTTCTCACCACTGAGAAAAGGACATTAAAATATCTTGGCCCTCCTAGAGACTATTTTGCTTCCCCTATGAATTGCTGTCCTCCATGGCTGATCGCTGACCTGGCTGCCTGGCAAATGGTCCTAAAGACAGTAGAGCCTAGTGATATTCTCATGACATGACTCGACCCGGCGCTATGTGAGATTCCATGGTAAAGAAAAGAAGAAAAGAAAAGAAGAGAAAAAGAAAAGGACAGGGCAAATGGATAGATAAGAGGACACCAAGGGAAGATCATTCTTCCAGAAACAATTGCCAGGACTCTGGTAACTGACACCCATCCGGGGTCCACAAACCTTTCTGAGTTGCTCAGACCAAGGTATGTTATACCTAGATTGGACAGCCTGGTGTGGAATGTCCCAGCCAGATAAATGCCAGGTTTGTGCTCAAGTGAATCCAAAATCAGAGAGCCCTTACCCAGGAATGGGTCAGAATGAGGGCCCAATATCCCAGCGAACTCTGAGAAAACTGACTGGGAAAACAGCCTGCTGGGTGAGGATAAAAGTACTTGCTAGTTTTTGTAGATACCTTTCCCACATGGGAAGAAGTGTTCCCTGTCCAGACTAAAACTGCTCCTATATAGTAGCTTAAAGGTTCCTTCAGGAACTGGTGCCTTGACAGCCTCTGCCTAGCATTGGGGTCTGACAATGACCTGACTTTCATAGCTCAACCCTCTCAATTAATAGCTAAAGTGTTAGACATAGGTTGACAAATTCATTGCACAAATAGACCTCAGAGTGCTGGCCAGGTCAAACAAAAATAAACAAGACCTTAAACAACCTCTAACAAAACTCTGACTGGAGTCCATCAAAGAATGGATAGGCCTCCTTCCTTTGCTTTGGCCCCCTGTACCCCATATAGGAGGGATTTACCCCTCCTGCATGAGATTATGTTTGGAAGACACCGCCCCCCATTGCCTCCCAGGCTCAGAGGACAGCAGTTTCTCTCTCAAGTCACTACAGGCACCACAGTCCTCCATAAAGGGTCTGGGAGAGACCCAGCTGACCTCCAAGTCACCACAAGTTTTCTCTTGTTCCAGTCCAATGATACTGTCTGGGCCAAGTGAGCAGCCAAAGGGGTGCTGGAACTAATCTGAAGAGGACCCTACAAGGGGATCCTCCCCACCTCTACAGCAATGAGGGTACTTGGCGTTCTATCATGGATCTACCACACCCAGGTATGGTAGAAGTCACAGACACTGCCGTCAGATGGACTGTCTCCCAGACTAAGGGCCTATTGAAATTAAGGTTTTATTGATTCCTCTATCTTCCCCTGACTTGTGTTTGGTATGAATTCAGGGTTATGGTTCAGCACTCACAGCCCTCTGGCCTGGCTCTGGGAACTGAGGAAGACAGACAGAGGGAAGGTATTCTAGTGTAGACCAGCAGCCTGTATTCTTCTTGACTTTGCTCACTGATGCCCACTTTAAATATCTAGCTGTACTGGAGAAAGGAAACATACGGGGGCTTATCTTTTGATATAGGAATTCGGAGTTTACAATTCTATGTGCACCCTGTGACTGGGTTCCCTAACTGCCAGGAACAAGGGAGTTTTCACTGCAAAAAACAAAACAACAACAACAACAAAACGGGTTTGTAAAATTGAGATTCCTTAGGAAAGGTTCTGGCCTTTGGGAAACAGGAAAAACCTGGGAAATCAGACAGCATGCCACAGGAAGGGACTGTGCGGATAGAGTTCATTATTCCCAGCCAGAATTTGGCCAGGATTGCTGGCTATGATATGACACCTGGCCCTTGTGCTACATAAACAATAAACCATACTGTCAGCCCATCGACTGACAAAACACTGTGACTGGGGGTACTACAAATTAAAATTAGAGGACTTAACCTACTCACTTCCCCTTGTTCTGATGTCTGCTATTCTGCCTTATGGTTTAATTCATCTGGACAAAAACAATATTACAGAGCCCGAGACCACCTAATGGGTATATTCCAATGGTTTAAGTAAATGTGCCTTTTCTGATACCTTCCAAACTAAGTAGACAGGTTGATCAGGATCTCGAGGTTTTAAAAGTTTCTGTTTCTGATTTAAAACAATATTTAGATTCCCTTGCAAAAAAACGATTCTACAAAATTGAAAAGGCTTAGACTCCTCAAAAGATAAAGGAAACTGTGTGTGTGTGTGTCTGGAAAAAAACCCTGTAATTTCTATGCTAATTGATCTATGCTAATTTACAATTTGTAAAAAGTCTTGCCACGGTTGAAAAAAAGCACTCAAAAAGAGAAAAAGACAAAGATATAAGTGAGATAGTTGGCACCAGTCTGTTCTCTTGGTATCGTATCCCCTGACCCTGCTATCAGCCCTGACAGGCCTTTAACTCTCATTCTAACTAGACTAACAGAGAGCCTGCATCTTAAACTACAACATGATGAGTCCATGATTTGACTCATTCACTCAGGCCAGTGGGGAAGGGACGTAAACAGAACCCCAGACCCTACTAGGCCCCCAGACCTTAGCACAATTGACTCCATGATGGAAGTACCATTCAGACTGTAAAACTCATCATGCAGATAGCACCACATGCCAAAACTAAAACAAAGGCCTAATCCATAATAATCCATACAGTCCTGGGAAAGCCTCAAACTCTACAAACCTTGCTTTTTGGCTTCTGTAGTTCTGCTTTTGGCTAACTGTTCTTCTTAACTGAAGTATGTCAACACAGGACTTTGTTGTTGTTGGGTTTTGTGTGTGTGTGTGTGTGTGTGTGTGCTTAAGAGCTCACCCTGAGAAAGGCTCAGTGTTACACTGGGAACCTTAGCACCCAGTGAATTTGCCAGCAGGCTAGTAAATACTTTCCACTGGATTAACCCTGTGTCTGAGAGGTCGTCTCTAGTGAATACCTTACAACAGAGGTACCATTCTGGCCACAAAACTCAGCAAGTAGACAGCATTGCCTGTCAAAACTGAAACAAAGACTTAATTCATTGAAGTCTATAGCTCTGGGAAAGTCTCTAAATATACGTTGATACTACTTGGCTAACTGACTATCTGTTCTTATTAGTTAAAATATATCGACCATGGATATGATTTTGTGCTTAAAAGATTATCCCAAGCAAAGCTCGGGGCTACACTAGGATCCCAAATACCCAGCTAATAAAGATGTTCTACTGGCTTAAACCAGTGTCATAGTAGTCTTCTCTGGTGAGTATGCCACAACAGATCTGTTGTTGGTACTCATAGTTAGAGACATAGCTGGACCACACTTAAGGGGATAGTGAACACAGAGGTTCACTCTATTGATCTATTTCAGGGGAGGGTCCATCACTCCACAAGCTCTCAAGAGAAAACCTGAGTAGATAGTTACAAGAGGAGAAATGAAATCTCGTTATATTTTCTTGTTTCAGCTACTGCTATTTGTTTACCCACTTCCTCATGCCACACCCAGTGGTGAAGGCTGACTGTATCTGGAGGTCAGTATCTTTTTAATTCATATTCCTTTTCTTGCCATTGCTATTGCTGCTTGGTAAAGGGGTATTTCCAACTTACTGCTTATAGATTGCCTTGGTTAAAAAAAACTAACATCTTAGTAGGGTGTGTCTATTGCCATGCACAAAACTTAAGTCTAAATGGATCAAAGACCTCAACATAAATCCAGCCACACTGAACCTCTTAGAAGAGAAAGTGGGAGGTACCCTTGAATGAATTGGAACAGAAGACTGCTTCCTGAACATAACACCAGTAGCACAGACACTGAGATTGACAATTAATAAATGGGACCTCCTGAAACTGAGAAGCTTCTGTAAGGCAAAGGGCACAGTCATCAAGACAAAAAGGCACCCCCCAGATTGGGAAAAGATATTCACTAGCCCCACATCTGACAGAGGACTGATCTCCAAAATTTACAAAGAACTCAAGAAGCAAGTCTCCAAAACACTAAAGGATCCAACTAAAAAGCAGGGGACTGATCTAAATAGAGAATTCTCAATTGAGGAGTATAAAATGGCTGAGAGACACTTGAGAAAGTGCTCAACATCCTTAGCCATTAGGGAGATGCAAATCAAAACAACTCTGAGATATCATCTTACTCTTGTCAGAATGGTGAAAATCAAAAACACCAATGACAGTTTGTGCTGGAGAGAATGTGGAGAAAGGGGAACACTCCTCCACTGCTGGTGGGAGTGCCAACTAGTACAGCCACTATGGAAATCAGTATGGAGATTCCTCAGGAAAATGGGTCTGAGTCTACCACAAGACCCAGCAATTCCACTCTTAGGCATATACCCCAAAGATGCCCATTCACACAACAAGGATGTATGTTCCACTATGTTCATAGCAGCATTATATGTAATAGCTAGATCCTGGAAGCAACCTAGATGCCCCACAACTTAAGAGTGGATAGAGAAAATGTGGTACATTTTCACAATGGAGTACTACTCAGCAGAGAAAAACAATAGAATCTTGAAATTTACAGGCAAATGGATGGCACTAGAGGAAACCATCCTGAGTGAGGTAACCAAAACACAAAAGACAAACATGATATGTACTCACTCATATATGGATTTTAGATATGGATCAGGGGAGTGTCAGCCTACAATCCCAGTGCCAGTGAGTCTGGGAAACAAGGAGGTTTCCAAGAGAGATGCATGATACCCCAGAGAAGGTGGAATGAGGCAAGATCTCCTGAACAGATTGGGAACATCGGGCGAGGGGAGAGGGAACCAAAAAAAGAGAGGGGGATAAGAGGAGGGGCGAAGAAGGCATGGGGGAGCAGGAAGGTTGAGTTGAGGTAAGAATAGAGGAGAGCAGGATGAGAGATACCATAATAGATCAAGTCATTATAGGCTTGAGGAGAGAGCTGACACTAGTGAGATCTCCAGAGATCTAAAAGGATAACACCAACTGGCAAACTAAACAATAGTGGAGAGACTACACTAATAGCCCATCCTTGATGATAGGGTTGATGACTACCCTACATGCCATCCTAGAACCTTCATCCAGGGACTGATGGAAACAAAGACAGATACCCACAGCTAAACACTGAACTGAACTCCTGGAACCTAGTGACAGAGATGGATGAGCAAAGGGGTCAAGACCATGATGATGAAACCCACAAAGACATCTGACAGGATAAGGGGGAGCGCTTGAATCCCAGACTGATGGCTGAGAGGCCAACAGGGGACTGATCCAGGGAGGAGGCCACAGAAATCACTAGGGCTTTGGGTAGTAGATCAGTGTTTATCATGGTTTATGAATGAGCTTTGGGAGCCCAATCCAAATAGAGGGATGCTCTCTCAGCCTGGACACATGGGGAAGGGCCTAGGTCCTGCCCAGGATGAAATGACAGAGTTTAGAGATCCCCCCCAAGGAGGGCCTCACCCTCCCTGGGGAATGATGTGGGGGGCTGGAGGGCTGGTGGAGGGACAAGGGAGGAGGGGTGGGAGAGGGTGCTGGGACTGACATGTGTAACATTCACGTTTCTAATTTAAATAAAAGCATATATTGAGAAAAAATAAATAAGTAAACAGTCAAGGGAGGGGAAATTAATAGTAATATCAAGCTGTGATGCCTAGTGAACAACTTGCTCTCTTTAGGGCTGAAGTTGATAGCTCTTATTCAAATGCTGATAGTGTCTCTGCATACAGGAAGATGTCTATGGATTTTTGCCATAATTTTTGAATACCATTTGAGATTGCCTCCATATTTCTTCATTTCAAAAAATTACAAAACATGAAAAATCATCACAAAAAACTAACATTTTAGTAGGGTGTAATTTACATATAATAAACATACATGCATCTAAATACAAAGTTCCAAGAATGTTGAGAAATGCTTATGTCTGTGTAGCTACTTCACTCGACACTAACTTGTTATTATTATGCCATTTCTCAATCAGCTATGGCCCTCCCTTCTGACTGCCATGTGTCTGGTCACTGAAAAACACAGATCCGAGTTTGGGTTCTTAAACAGATGGACTTTTCTTGGGCTACATATGATAATGCACATAATAAATTCATTTGTGTATGTTTTTTCTTTGTTGAGATTTATTTATTTTTATTTATGTGCGTGTGTTCCTGCATGTACTGTGTATATGCAGTACACATAGAGCCCAAAGGGATATGTTGGATCCTCTGGAACTGGAGTTACAGATAGCCACTTTGTGGGTTCTGAGACACTAATCTGGGTCCTCTGGAAGATCAGTCAGTGCTGTGTAGATGGTGCTTTCTGTCCCACCTGGTCCCACAGCCGTTTAGTCCCAAATAAATACACAGAGGCTTATGTTAATTAGAAACTGTTTGGCCAATGGCTCAGCCTTCTTATTGGCTATCCCTCTCTTAATTATTAATTCATATCTATTAATCTATGTATTTTCACATGGTCTCGGGCTTACTGGTGATGTCTGGTCCCCTTTCTTCATCGACAGCTACATGGTGTCTCCCTGGCAGCTTTTATCTCCCTTCCTCTTCCCAGAATTCTCCTAGTCTGGTAGGCCTGCTTATACTTCCTGCCTTGCTGCTGTACAATTGGTGTTTTATTCATCAACCAGTAAGAGAAACAAATATTAAAAGCATACGGAAGGAAACTCCCTCATCATCTCTTTTCTGTCCAAATGAAACAAAAGGCTTTAACTTTAACATAGTAAGAATATATATGTATATATATATATATATCAAAACAGTTGATATATCAAGTAAGAACTATAGCTAGAAATAACTAACATTGGACTAAATTTAATGAAAATATTCTATCATATATCTTATCCTTGTGAGTCTAAAGTTTTGTACATAACTTATTTTTTATCATAACTAGTGAAAACCATAACTATAACTATCTGTCTTTTGTACAGAGTTATAAGGGCTTGAACCACTTTACTTATATCTCCTGGTTTATATTCTGCCTTACCTGATTTGTTTGCATCAGTAGAATGTAGGGGCTCCAGAGATTGGTGTTTTCCACCAGTCCAGTCTCTTTTTGTTTGTGTTTTGAGACAAACTCTCACTGTGTAGTCCTGGTTAGCATGGGACTTGCTATGTAGACTAGGCTGGTCTCAAACCCTCAGAGATCCATCTGCCTCTGCCTCCTGAGTGATGGAATTAAGAATGTGCCAAAACACTTAGCCTATAATATACTATTAGTGAACTGCTTTTGAGGATCCATCATCATTGTGACATTTGTCAGTTCTTTGTTTCTTTTAATTATTGAACAGGATTCCATTTTATGGATACATCCAACAAACTGTGTGTGTGTGTGTGCGTGTGTTCATGAGCACGTGGTTGTGCATGTGGGTACATGTGGACAGCAGAGGTCAATGTTTGGTGCCTTTCTCTGATCTGTTTTATTTTTTTGGACAAGGTCTCTCAATGGATCTGCTCATTTGGTTAGACTGGCTGGCCAGCAAGCCTCAGGGATCCTCTTCTCTCTTCCTTCCCAGGTCTGGGCTTTAAGGTATGTGCTACCATGCTGGGATTTTTACATGAATTCTGGAACGAATATTCAGCTCTCCATACTTGTGTGGTGAGCATTTTACTAACTGAGCCATTTATGCAGCCCCACATTCTACATTTCAACCTTTTTGTCATTTTATGAACATATGAATTATTGCAAGTCCAGGGAAGCTTCTATGAGTTTTCATAAACAGTTCTCTACATAAACAAAGGCTTTCATAAATACTGGAGTGGTTGGATATTTTACTGCAAATGCCTGCCAGACTTTGTTACTGTTAATCTGTAATAATGACTCTAGTAATAGACACTAAGTCCTCTGCCTTGTTCGGATGTATATAGACTTAAGTCTATGTGCCTGATTATGTTGTTGTTGTTGTTTTTTAAACATGAATCTTTATTGGCCACAGGTACTTGAGAGGGCTGAAGTGGAGGAATGGGTGGCACTGGTGCCAGTCTGGCCATAACCAAGTCTCTCAGTTTTCTTAGACTACAAACTGCAAAATGGTTCCTTACAGTGGGTCACAAATGACATCCCTTGTCTGTCAGGTGGGCTGATTTCCTCGAGGCCCTGTGGTGTCGCTGAGCACCCAGTCAAGGACACAAGACCAACCACCTTCTCTCCAGGTACTTCCTGTTTCAGATTTTCTCTTGGGAGTACCCCTCAAACATGCCTCCCTTCCCCTCCAACCACCTTTGATTCTTGTATTACCTTCAAGGTCACAATTTTCTATAGTTTTGTGGGTTACTTCAAGGGATCAAGGCTGATGGACACAGGTTAATTGGCTGAGGAAAAAGACCATGTAGCTCCCACCAGCATGACTCCCTTCCTCAGGGACCCAGTTTCCTCCAGAGTTTGCGAATTTTTAGTTTTAATTTGATTGATTTTCACCATCCTTAAATGTATTCAAAGTAATTTTAAAAATTCATCTATACTTTCAAGAGTTTTCTACTGGGACACAGTAGTCCCACACAACTTATTTTTCCCACCAGGAATTTTCTCATCTGAATTTGACATTATCAACACACCTGCATACCTTCACCTTTCTGTTTGGATTTATTTGTCCTCTCTGTCTATGTTCCTCCTTCAGTCTTTTTTATTTTTCTCTGTTAATCGGATTTAAAATTATTGTATTTTCCTAAAGGATTTGGAGTGCCAGTTATACAGGCTACTTAAGTAATTTCTAGTGTATTTGAGAGATTTCATCCTTTGACTTCATCTTTTTTTAGTTTCTTTCTCTCTCTCTCTCTCTCTCTCTCTCTCTCTCTCTCTCTCTCTCTCTCTCTCTCTCTCTCTCTCTCTCTGTGTGTGTTGCGTGCATACATACATGATCTCTCAAGCCACTGTGTATGTGGAGAACAGAAGACAATTTTTTGTTTTGTTTTGTTTCCTGGCTGCCCTGGAACTCACTTTATAGACCAAGTTAGCCTTGATTTTTCTTTTCTTGGACAATTCTTTAAGAAATAATTTATTTATTTTTACTTTACACACAATGGTGTTTTTCCTGCACGTATGTCTATGTGAAGGAATCAGATCCTTTGATACTGGAGCTACAGACAGCTGTGAGCTGCAATGTGGGTGCTGGGAATTGAACCCCTGGGGTTCCCTGAAAGCACTGCCAGTGCTCTTAACCACTGAGCCACCTCTCCAGCCCCCTGCAGAAGACAATTTGAAGGAGAGTCAGTTCTTTCCTTCTAGTGTAGTTTCCAGGAACTGAACTCAGGGCATCAGGTTCAGAAGCAAATGCCATTACTCCACAAACCTTCTCTATAGCACTTAGTTTCTAAAATTAATTTACACTTAAATATTTCCCAGGAGGTGAAGGAGCTTATAAAATTATACTACATTTATGTTGAATTATCTCACATGCTTGTTGTCGTTAACATTGCCAGGCAATTTTAGTTTTACAATTATTTTTATTTATATACTATAAATTATTACTTTGTAGAATACTTATTTATATAGATTCTCATTTTTTATTCTTTCTTACATTTCTGTTTTATCATTTAGGGATACTCTCTCTTCTGCTTAACATCTACCTATGATACTTCATAATTTTAAAACTTCTGGTGACAGATTCTCAAAATTGCATTTTCCCTCTTATTTTATTTTTATACTGAGGGTTATTTTTGCTGAGTGTAATTCTATGTTGTCAAGTATTTGACATATTTAAAGTGCATTGCTTCTTTAAAGGTTTACTTCACTTTTCTTTTAGATCCCTAATCACTCTGTTCTTGTCTTTTTTTTTTCTAGAATCTAGATCCCTCTGGTTCCACTGTCTTGATTGCTCTCTGATGTTTCATTTTGACTGAAAATAAAATTTTTCAGTTTCTTTTTCATTTGTTCCTATGAGGAAGTTATAAATTAGTTTAAGAGTTTTGGAACTATAACTCCCACATGTGTAGATATTTACTATACACACATGTGTATGCTTATTTGTGTGTGTGTGTGTATGTGTGTGTGTATGTTCAGTATATATAGTTAATTTTATTTATAGAACTGTTTTTCCTGCATGTATATTTGTATACTACTTGCATGTCTTGTGCCTAAGGAGATCTCTGATCGCTCAGAACTGGAACTACAGATGGTGTTGAGTCACCATGTGGATGCTGGGAATTGAACTCTGGAACTTTGGAAGATTAAGAAGAGCAACAAGTGCTCTTAATCAGTGAGTCACTGGGATATCTGTTTATCTATATTTTTTTAATTTGTTGAGAATTTCATAGTGCACATAATATATTTTTATCATAGTCACTCTCACACTGTGACTTCTAACTCCTTTCAGATCCACCCCCCATTCCTCTTCCAACTTCATGCCCTGTTTCTAATTTTATTATTTTTTTTTGCGGTGGACCCACTGAATCCAACGGTACCGCCCATAAACTCATGGGTGTGGGACCATCTTTTACAGCACCGTAGACCTACCAAGGGCCACACACTTAAAGAAAACAACCCTTCTTACAAAACCCATTGGCTGTCAACAGCTCCCTAGCTAGTGATATGGGTTATGGACACCTCCCTGCTGTCAGTTGATGCTGACAGGCAACATAATTATATATATGTGCATATTATATATCATTAAATATATGCATATATTTCTTTTAAAATATATTCTTGTGGCTGATATATAGAAATTCTTGTGATTCATTTTTATAGGATTTCCCAGCAACACACATTCAGAGCCGAGATGATTATACATAACTTATTGACTATTTTATCGGCCTCACCTTCATTGCTAGTTTAAATTTTTCACCAAAAGTGCATGAATACCTGGTGTCTAATGTACAGTATTTGCTCTTTCAGTGAGTGCTATTTGACTGAGGAAGTTCTTTTCTAAAAGAAACACTTCCCTGTTTTTAACACTGTTAGAAGTTGAGCAACTTTGAAAGGCCTTTTTTGATTCATCAGGGTAGTTAGAATTTTTTTAAAATGCATTTTCATGTGTGATGGATTACATTAATATATTTTCTAAAGTCAAAGCATGTTACCAATGATGGCTGAAGTTCAGCTGGGTCATAATGTAAGTTTCAATTTCAATATGACCCTACTGTTGGTGAGACTGTAAATTAATACAGTCATTTTTTGAAGTGTATGCCGCTGTCTTGTTTATCTGCTCTGTTTTAAACTGTATCTATTTGGACCTTTGGCCTAGGTAATTCACTGTTTGTAGATCACAAAGATCTCATACTCAGGCCCATAAAAAAAAAAAAAGAATCCCTGCTTTTTTTTTTTTAAACTTCAGTTGACTATGTAATTCTGTATGTGAATAACATGAACATGAATATGTATTACTAGCTTAAAAAATAGTTAAGAGAATCTCCTGGAAGACCCAAGCAAGTTTTCAGAGGCAATACCCACAGTTCAAGGGGATGTGCCAGAGTGGAGGAAGTCAGAGTATGGTAACCCTTCCCCATGATTCTCTGTGTATGTTAAACACACTCACAAAGCAAAACATCCAAAGACAAATTTTAAAAAGATGCCTCTGTTCTTCTGACTTAAGAAGACAACCTTCTACAGAATGGCACCAGTCCAACAGCATGACTCCCTCCCTTTAGAAAGCTTTCCAGAATAATCCTAGACCATACTGAGTTTTCTCACACTCCAAGGTCCCACGGCATATTCACATATACCCCATCACTATACTATCACACGAGAAAAACCAAGCTGAGCAGCATGATCAAATACAAAGAAATATTACTGGTATTGTGGGGCTTTTCCCCGGGTAGATGCTACAAGCATCTGCGTGCCAGATACTGTGCAGAGAGCAGTCAAAGGCACAATCCCTCCCAAGTCTATTTAAGTGAACCCATGATTCTGTTTGGGTTACTTACAGGAAGGAACATGGGTAGCTCAAAGGCAGCCACGCCACTGGGGAGCCCACGGCCACATGGGTGATGGCTCCCATAAACTGTGTCGCTGGAGCTCTCTGGTCCGACCCGCACATAGCTCCACTGGGTCATCAGCTGTTTATATATTGCTTTTATAACTTTTGGGAGGAGCCTCGTAGTCTTGCAGCTTTCTGAGACTTTTAGAACTGTTTTAGATTCTGGCCCGATTCCTAGGAACTCCCTTCTAGGGAGAAAGGTTTTAATTTGAAGGAAACAGTTACACCACACTTTTGTAGTGTAACAACCCAAATACTGTAGGGGAAAAAAGGCAAAAACAAAGCGTGTGGAGGAAGCAGCCTTTCTTTTGATGCTCAGTCCAAATGAAGCTCTTTGAAACTCACCTTCCTCCTTTTCGTCTATCTGGGGTAGTCTTTTCCGTTTCCACTTGGGGCTGTAGTTGTCCGGGGAGATGCGTGATACTTCTTCCTTCTGTGGCCTATTTTAACGTTCAAAATTGATATAGTTAACAATGCAAGCTTTGTATTTGTGCAATGTGGCAAAAGCTTTGTGAGCAAAGGGGAAAGAAGAGCAAGGGTGAGGGAGAAAAGGGAGGGGGAGAGGGAGGAAGAGAGAGACGGGAGAAAGAGGGAGAGGGAGAGGAAGGGGGAGTGCAGAGCCAGACAAGAGAGCAGGGCAAGACCAGAGCACAGAGCAGCAGTGGGAAAGACAGACAGGAAGGAGGTGACTCACCGTTTGCCTTTCTCTGTTTTAGGTTCTCCTCTTCTATTTAGGTTCTTTATCTCAAGTCATTACGACACCCAAATGCAAGGGGCGCTAGAGATCCACCTTGATTTAGTGACAGATCCTAACATCTAGCAGCTGTTTCCGTGTTTGTGAGCAGAAGCAAGGAACCTAATATCTTCAGCAAAAGGGACCCTTGAATGCCTTAGGCCCAGTATGACAGTAGGAAGGGTTACCAAAGGAGGTAACAAATAAAAACTCAGCCCCCCCCCCAGTAGGTAGTCTCTTAGCTCTGCAGTCCTTCCTCCTTCCTCTCCTTAGGAGGGGGTTGTCTGTAATGCTTGCCACAGAAGTTTGCTTTTGTTTGCTCTGAGCTTTTTTAATTCTTCAGTCTATGGACATCTATGGACAAAAAGAAGCTACCTGCTAGCCAGCTTCAGTTGTCACCAAGCAACAAGCTTTGAAGCCTACAGAGTTCTTGGTCTCCATCCTGACAGCCTAGTGAGGGTCCAACTCACACCCAGTCCTGACAGGGACACAGAGAAGGTCCGGGTAGAAGGAAAGTTCCAACAAAAAATTTCTGTCATAAAATTTCTGTCATATAAATCATTCAAAGGACTGCTGGAAGAATTTGATTCAGGAAATAGAAAAGGCTGGGTCTTTAAGGAAGGGTAGGGAGGAAAATTCCATGGCCAGTGCAGCCTCCAGCAGCACAGGGACCTAGAAAGGTAATGGTAGACAGACATACAAGACTCTGGGTTCACTTAAAGCAGGAATCATTTTTACTTTTCCCATTGCTGTTTATATTGTTTCGTTAGCTGCTAGAGAGGGCATCACCAGCAAAACTTAAGCAAACAGTGCCTGCCTTTAACCCCTTTTTCTGAGTTCTTCTTCTGCACTTTGCTGGCTTTGTTTTGTCCCAAGGGCATTCTTCCCAGGCTTTGCAGTCACCAGGCCATATCTAGGTCAGAGTTTGTGTTTGAGTAAAGAACTGCTTGAATAAGAAACATCTGGACTATAACGAATGAATAGAGGAGGAGGGAGTGAAATAACAATAGACATCTGAAGCAAGTCATAAAGATCACACTATTAACCATTTATCTAAAAAAACTACTATAATACTTGGAATTTTGTATATAAATATACATGCAGAGTTTAAGTTTTCTCATCTGGACTGGCAATGCTCCCTGCAAGAGCAAAAGACCACCTAACAGAACTCCCAATACCAGACACAAGGAGCCCTCTTTTGAGTTGTTGGTCAGGGCTGTCCAAGAGACACCCAAAACATATGGCCTATTGCTATTGCCCTTGGTTACTCCCCAGGGGTGGAAGTTTAGTCCCTATTGCAGAAGACACCAGGCACTTCAGAACTGGGACCCAGAGGCCCCCAAGCTGAAACTGACCTGCTTGAGGACTAGCTTTTATAGTACCAGAAGATGCTTTGCAAGCTTCCAAAGGAGGGAAGCAACCAACAGTCCTACGCCATTGATGACTGTGAACCATAAAAACAAAGGGCACAGTAGGGGCACACATACCTTGTCAGTAACCAATAGTTCTCTAACTGGACTGAAGACCCACTCAACTAGAAATGCCTGATACTAGAGACCTAACCAATTACTCAGTGCTGGAGAAGTCATGGATCTTGGAGGAGAACCTGTAACCCCTACTTTACTAAACCAGTATAATCCCTAATAACTATCTATAAACATTTGTCCTTATGCCCACAGATAAGTGTAGTCTTCACTCCTCATCAAGGAAACTGCTCTTTGCAACAGATGGAGACCCTTATAGAAAACCACAACCAATCAAAATGCAGAGCTGTAGAGCCCAGTCCCAGTGGATATATCTACAACACAGCTCCCCCTTACTAAGGCTCAGGGAATATTCTAGAAGGGGAAATATTTAGAGAGATTGTAAGAGCCAGAGGCTCAGGGAGTCTGCTCTGAAACTGTGTGTCTTGGTAATGTGAAAAGCTACACTCATAAAGTCTGATCAATAAAGCAGCCCAAATGTCAACTGAGCTAGGAAGACACCAAAGAAAATGCCACAGTGGTGGTGAAGAGCCCACGAGGCCTACAGAAAAAAGTCCAGGCAAATGAGAAATGCTGGAAGTGGGAAAAAAAGATCTTTCTCAGGGAAGAGCAGCCAGTTGGTTATCCATTATCAAATGGTCAGTCCTGAAATATGCATATGCTACATTGTATAAACAATTATGCAACAGACAATATGCCACACTGGATAGACTGAGCAGGTTATATTTAGGAATAAAACTGCATTAAAAAAAAAGGAATCACGAATTTGAAAAAGAGCAAGGAGGGATATGTGGGAGGGTCTGGAGGAAGTAATGGAAGGGAGAAACAATGGGAGTAATTATAATCTTAAAAATTGAAGAAAAAAAGAACTTCTCAAAGCAAGGACTCAACTTCTCCAAGTGCTGAGATCTCCCTCCCATCACCCCATAAAACTTTCTGAGATGACATCCCTTTTTGAAAGCAGGGACCACTTTTCAGCAAGGCAGATAATTTCTACCTTGTTTGCTCAGTTGGGCTTGAATGAAACCATCCTCCCCATCAAACTCTGTCTTCCAGTTTGTTCTGCTACAGGAGGCTGGCAGAAGGACATCCAGGCCCCAGTAGTGACTCTAGTTCATTCCTCTCCTGAAAGACTTCTTTGGTCTTGGAAGTGATGACTGGATTTCTGATTTTCTTCCACTTATGACTGAGTGTTGGGCTGCATTACCAGTTACCAGTTATAACCACTGTGACTGGATTAATATCTGCAGTAGTCTTCAGGAATGAGGTTTCCCTCCATGCTGGAGGTTCATGGCACTAGCAAGCTATGGGTGCCTGTCCTTTTTTCCTTTTAGTAGTCAGACTATTGTAGTCAAGAAATTCGAGTTTTCTAGGAACCTCACGCTGGGGTTAAGGAAAGGTGGTGCCATCCAGAGGAAGATTATCTTCCAGGAAAACATTTCACACAGTTCTGACCATTTATCAAGCCACTTTGCACAAAATACTGAAGTCCTGATAGTAATGGGTGGAACCTTACCTTGACTGGGACTGCTTAGCTATGCACATCTCTGAAGAAGTAGAATTGAGAGGATGTCACCGAGCCTCCTTTTCTCCTTCATGGGGCCCTGCTCTCCCTAGCCACAGGTCTTTGTCTTGGCTCACAGTATCACAAATTCCTTCTTGTGGAGTAGGACATAAATCTAACTAGTAAGCTGTTGGTGGTGCCCATAATAGTCATGACACCACTGCAAACAGTGTACAGTTCTTATCTGGCAGGTTGAGAGTGTGGCATAGAGACTTCAGTCAAGTAGAACTACTGGTGACAAATTTCCCCCAGTAGCCTGTGTAGGATCTACCAAAGTTACATATCAGGGAGACTTCCTTTTCTAGGGTCTCTCTTTACCATTTCTCTAATGGTTGCCTCTTTTCCAGACTACTTGAAATCTTCTCTGAGATACTATTATAACTCAATAGTCAATGCCACATAAGACTCTATCACCCTATTCCATAATATACTTTAGCATAGTGCTATTTTAATTAATTCATACATGGATACATGTGCTCTGGTCATATTCATTCCTACACTTCTCCTAACTCCTCCTTCATCCACCCTCTGCCTACCCAGCTTCATGCCTTCTTTTTTTTAATTCACTGAGTCCAATTTGTGCTGGCCAGACACTCAAGGGTGTGGGTTCATGCACTGGAGCATGAAATAGTACTTGTACTTTGTTTTTAATCATTACATAATTGATTTATATTTTTTTATTATCCTGTCCCTTCATTAGTTGGTAAAGTCTCGATGGCAGATATTTCAAGTGCTTTTTTTTCTTAAAAAGTAAAAACATTTTATTTATTTATGTATGTGTCCATGAGTGTATGTGCACCATGGGTATGCAGATGTCCTTAGAAGACGGTGTCAGATCACTTAGAGATCTTGACTTGAGTGACTTGATGTGGGTATTGGGAGCTGAACCAAATCTTTTGCAACAGCAGTTGGTACTGCTAACTGTTGAGCCATCTCTCCAGCTCTCACAATATCTCTAAAGACTAGAACAGTATCTGGAACATGGTAGGACCTTAATAAGTGTTTTGGACCCCACCCCGAGTGTGCAGTAGGCGCTAAACTGTGAACGATGAGGCCCAGGCAGATGTACAGAGAATGTATAATCTCCTGCCCTAAGGACACAGGATACAGATTTAAAGTGTTCTGCTGTACTTGTTTTCTTCCAGGTGTATGAGAGTAGGTCTGGGTCCTATAGTTGTGAGGTTCAGTGAATAGTGCAGAGTTAAAGAAGAATATAGTAGCCAGGCGGTGGTGGCGCACGCCTTTAATCCCAGCACTCGGGAGGCAGAGGCAGGCGGATCTCTGTGAGTTCGAGGCCGGGCTGGACCGACAGTCTCCAAAACAATACAGAGAAACCCTGTCTCATAAAAACCAATAAATAAATAAATAAATAAATAAATAAATAAATAAATAGACGAATATAGTAATGAAGGACTTGATGAAAATTTCATTGTCCTATTCAACCACTAAAATGAACAGTTAAAAATGTTAACGTATACGTGTAGGTGATGCTAATCAATGTTGTTGATTATAAGTAATCAAAGTAGCTTTCAAAGGGTATCAAGCTTTAGAACTACTGGTTCAAACCAAGGCTGACCCTGAAGACGGACACATAAAAGTAAAAGTGACTGATATTTTGGTTGAGGAGGCACAGTGGAACCTATACTCAACCTACCAGACATCTCTCCTGACTCTTGTGTCTCTAAATAGTCTCAAGGACTACCCACAGTTACATAGAACACAGTTTTGTGGTTGTTAATCATAAACTAATTCCTTCATTTGGAATAACTTGACCTAACAAGATGACCTGACTTATCCAAAGTCTTCAAATTACGGTTTGTAACTGGACCAAAGTCTTTGAACTCCAGCTCACTGTGTTTCACTCTGTTACCTCCTGTTCCTAGGTGATGAGGCTATAGATTCAGCTGGAATCTCACAAAAAGAAGTTCTATGGGAGAGTATAGTCGGAGGACTTTTGAGATCCTGCAGCCTTGTTTGGTATTCTGCTGTTCTATGACTGCAAAAATCACCTGGAGGCTGTAGTTAGTGATAGAAAAGGAAATGAGAGCCTTTATTCAGAGAGTTGTTTTATATGTACCCCACCAAGTTGGTTTGGCATCTTGATGTAACTGTTGAATGCAAACAAAATGGTTTGAGTTTTAAAAATAGCCATGCATAATCCACCGCCTTAGAGAGGCTAGGTAACTAGGAGGGCCTAAATAGTGGATGCGGGTGCATGGATTTCCCTAGAAAGGGGAAATAGAAGAGATCCCCTGGGTAGACTGGGGAACAAGCAGGGGTGGGAACATGAGGGATTGGGTTGGGGTAGTGAATGGAGCGGGAGAATAATGAAAGAGGTGTCTTGATGGGGGAGCCTTTTGGGGCCAGGTAAAAACATGGTGCAAGAGAAACTTCCATGAATCTACAAGGATGACCCCAGCTAAAACTCCTAGCAATAGTGGACAGGTAGCCTGAACTGACCATCTCCTGCAATCATATTAGTAACATCCCGAAATTGTCATCAGAGAGCCTTCATCCAGTGACTGATGGAAACAGATGCAGAGATCCACAGCAAAGTACTGGGTTGAGCCAGGAGGATTCTATTAAAGACAGGGAGGAAGGACTGTACCAGCCAGAAGGGTCAAGGTCATCACAAGGGAACCAACAGAAACAACTAACCTGATCTCACAGGAGCTTAAAGACTCTGGTCCAACAGCTAGGGATCCTGCATGGGACTAACCTAGCTTGTGTAACAGTGGTGTAGCTTGAGCTACTGGTGGGACTCCTAGTGGTGGGAGCAGGGCCTGTCTCTAATGTTTTGGCTGGTTTTCAGGAGGCTATTCCTCTTACTGGGTTGCCTTGCCCAGCCTAATACAAGGGGAGGAGCTTAGTCCCAACTTAACTTGATATGCTATGTTTTGTTGACACTCTTGGGAGGCCTGTCCCTTTCTGAACAGAAACAGAGGAGAAGAGGATGCAGCAGGGAGATGGCAGGAGGGAATGAGAGAAGAGGAGGGAGGGGAAACTGTGGTCAGGATGTAAAATAAATGAATAAACCTAATTAATAATAATAAAAAGAAAACACAATAAAATTTTTATGTGATGCCTGGTGCCTGTGGAAGCCAGAAGAGAGTGTTGGGTCCCCTGGAAATGTGTATTGGCACTTAAACCCGGGTCACTTGGGAGAGCAACAAGTGCTCTGAACCTCTGAGTCATCTCTTTAAGCACCTTTATTCTTTTTAAAGGTATAATTTAGGTTCAGTGAGATGGCTGGGTAGGTAAAGGCACTTGCTACCAAGCCTGATAACCTGAGTTCAATCACTGGGACCCACGTGGTGGAAGGAGAGAACTAACTCCTAAACATTATTCTCTGACCCCCATACATGCACTGTGGTATATATCCCCCCAAATAAATAAAGACAATAAAGAAATTTGAAAGATAAAGCTTGGCAGTGATGGCACACTCCTTTAATTCCAGCACTCAGGAGGTAAAGGCAGGCAGATCTCTGAATTCAAGGCCAGTCTGGTCTACAGATGGCGTCCCAGGACAGCCAGGGTTACACAGAGAAACCATGTCTCAAAAAAAAAGCAAAAATACATAATTTATAGTATATTTATAAAAAGCAAACTCTGATTTTGTATTTAATATATAAGAGTAAAAATTCACTAAAATATTTTCCATTATTCATTCCTATTTTAATGTTTTCCATTAAATTTTTTGCTCATTTTTATTTATTCTAAAATTAGCATACAAAATATTAGGTTTCATGGTAGTGATTCTGTGGATATTTTGTTTTGGTTGGTAAAAAAAATCTTATATTCCAAAAACTTGAAAGCCTAGGAGAAAGACAAATTTCAAAAATCACATAGCCTATCAAAATTAAATCTAGAAAACAGAAACAATTTAAACAAATCCATAATAAGCAATGAGATTGAAGCAGTAATTAAAGGTCTCTCTCCAAAGAAAAGTTCAGGCCTGGACAGATTCGCTACTAAATACTATGAAACTTATAAAAGAAAGCCTAACCAACAGTTCTCAGACATTCCCACAATCCACAAACAGAAGGAATGCCGCTGAAGTCATTCTTTGAAGTCTATATTGCCCTGATTTCAAACTTGGAGACATGACCAAGAAAAAGGTACAGCTCAATTTCCCTGATAAACATGGATGTAAAAATTCTCAACAAACATATTTACAGATTTAATCAAAGACCGGTTAAGATTTTTATGCAAAATTGCTTCATTTTTCTGAACTCGCAGCAGCAGGGAAAAGGTCTCACACCCAGGAGTCCTAACTTCCAATTGATGAAAAGCAGTGTGGCTCCGACCAAAAAAGGTAGGACCTTTCATTGACTCTTTTGAGCTTCAACTTGAAGCAAAAGCCCAGTCTGGGCCCTTGTAGGCTGAACTGGGTGGGTCACATGGACCACAGTGCAGACTACCTCACTGGACTAACTGGGACATCCTGGCACGCCAGCAGGATACATTGTATCTTTGAATCTCAATGAGTGACTTTCAGAGTTATGTGCTTCCTAGCAAATATAGTTTAAGAATATATTAATTTGACTTCCGACCACATGCTGTGGTGGATGGACATCATTTGTTCCAAATGCAATCGTCATATCCCAGGCATCAATGACACCCACATTGAGACCCTGGAAAATATCCTTTAAGGCAAGATACTGGGTGTAACCATGGAAGTCACTAAGTCTTTCCACATCACTGGTCATCTCCCTGATGTTTTCTGTTTTGAGGACAACCACAGTGTCTGGGCTTCTCAGGAGAAGTCGCTGAAGAGCTTTGCGGACATTGAGGGCCCTTCGGATGAAAAGGTCAATGGGATAAGGTCTGAAATGCTGACCCAGAGAAATGACGATGACTGTATTTTTCTCTCCTCCAGTCCTGTCAATTATCCGCGCAATGTTCTCTATCTCTTTGACAGAGTACACCTGTGATCCAATAAGGGGGTAGCCATGCTTTTGCCACTGGATGCTGATTTTTTCATCCAAATCCACGGCGAGTTGGTGTTGCAGTTTTCCAATCTCATGCAGATCCACAGACCTCAGTGCTGACAGCAAACAGGCAATCCCAAAACAAAAGGAGAATATGGTTACAGAGATCAACTAGCCACAAATACAGGAGAAAAGCTCTGGTGTTAACAGTCATATACACTTACCACATCTGACTAAGGAGAAGTTTGGAAAACTACATAAACAATTGGAGGTGTTTTATGACAAGGAACTTTGCCCTCTTCTAGAATCATTTAGATTAAATTGTGCAGGGGATGACTTTGTCCTTGAATTCAGCCATAATGGAAGATGACTCAATTAGTGTGCACATGCTGTTTTCATAGGATATATTTACTATACACTGATCTCATAAAAGGATAGGTAGGGAAGGCTAGTCATAGATGTTATGTGCAAAAAGAAAACAAACAAACCTCTGTAATCTAAGATTGCACTCTATGTTCTTCTTTCCCTATGGCTCTCAACCTTCCTAATGCTGTGACCCCTTAATACACTTCTTCATGTTGTGGTGACCCCCAACTATAACATTATTTTTGTTGCTACTTCATGAATGTAATTTTGTGACTGTTATGAATTGCAGTGCAAATATCTGATATGCAGATGGTCTTAGGTGGACCATGTGACAAGGTCTTTCAATCCCAGAGGGGTCACAAGCCATAGGTTGAGAACCCAAGCACTAGGGAAGGACAGTAACATTTTGTGAACAAGGCTGATGGTTTGTCATTAAGGACTATGATAGAGGAGGAATTTCCTTACTCTTTTGCCCGTTGAAATGAAAACATAGTTTCTGAAAGAGATGTGAAAAGTTTATACTGAGACATACTGTCCATTTTGCTTTTGAAGTATTCCATCCACTGGCGGACTGTGGAATCACCCATTAGGTGGATAAACTTTCCTCTCAGGCAGTCTTTCATTTTGATTGGAGCCAAACTACAGGAGGCTGGATTCCATGTGTTTCTCCAGACATGCCCACTGGGGATCCCGGATACCATCCCGAACTTGCATCTCTCTTTTGCTGCAGCAGCCTCTTCTGCCAAGGAATAAGCAAGATAGTCTTCTAAAACATTGTTTTATCCAACTGTGTTTACTAACCTTCCATCTTTTCCAAAGAACCCTCTAGATAGGCATGTAGGTGGTGGTGAGAATAAAAAGAAGCTTATTAAAGTATCTTTGTAATGGATTACTTTCAGCAAAACTTTCCTTTGATGTGATTTCCTAAGTGATACCTATTAGTGTTTGTTATGAAAGTATATGGGGTTTTCCCTCTCAGAATAAAAGAGGCCTTAAAGGAAAATGTAACAGTTTGGTAGCCTTGCCTTGAGACCTGCCTCATTAGTTCTTATATACGGTAAGAGAGAGAGCTTGTTTAGCTTGTCACATGTTCTCCCACTGGGGTCTTAAATGTCACCACTAAAGTATGAACTCTTTGAGATAAAGGCAGGGTGAACTTGACTTAGAAATTGGTCAATTTGCATTGAGAGAGGCCTGGAGGTCCAAGAAGGACTAGATCTTCAACCTTAGTCTCTGGGTAATGAAGAGATGGGGGGGGCGGGATGGCGGGGGGGTTGGGGGGAGAGGGGGCACCCACGACATGACACACAAGGATGGTGAGGCAGCAGATTTGGGGTCACAATTATTTATCACTCCAAAGGGTAAATTAATATTTTAATATCTACTATGAGGGTACTAATGTGTATACACTCACACACACACACACACACACACACACACACACACACACATGTATATATATATATACCATTTCCCCTTTCCTCTCCAAGTCTGTCTCTGCCTAGGCTTGCCTTCAACTTGCTATGTAACTGAGGATGGCCTTGAACCCCTCATCTTACTGCCTCCACTTCCCGAGTTTGTGAATCATAGGTGTGTTTTTATGTGGTGCTTGGGGGCAAGGCTAGGGGCTTTGTGCCTCCTGGGTAAGCACCTCATACCACTTCTGCAATCAGAAACATGGTTTTTCCTTCTATGTGGAAAACTGTCTTAGCAATTAGCAAGCTTTTCATGGTGAATCTAGAGAGACAAAGATACTGTTGCCTTAAATCATTTTAGGTGGTGTTTGTAAGCTGTTCAGAGTAAAAAGAAAGAAAGGAAGAAGAAATGAAGACTGGTGAATATGCGTGTGGGAGTTCTTTGTTAAAAAATGGTGGTTTCAAATCCGAGAGAGAAGAATGGCAGTAAATGGGGAGACAGTTTTACCTTTGCGGGTCAATGTGCTATTTGTGTCCTCCACCTGATGACTAGATTGGTGAGAGTTGTGATTACTAAAGCACACGCCTAAGATCCTAGTGAGTACAGTCATTCATTCACTTGCAGACTTTGTGCCTTGGCCCATCTTACAAGAATTGAGACAGTGATCAAGTCCAGCAGAAAGAGAAGGACATTTAAATGGGTCCAGTGGCAAGCTCTGCCCACCGAGCACAGAAGCACTTACTGTTGCATTTGGAGACACTAATCACATTGGATTTTCCCATAATCTCCACACCTATATTTGACCTTAAAGAAACAGATACAGAAATTAATCTGCAGTGGCCTCAACTCAAGCAAAGTCCCAGAACCCAGACTGGCCAGTCCTTCTGTTAGTTCTCAGTGAGAATCTAATTTCCCTGTCTAGAATTTCAGGTCATTTAGTAAGTTTCCATTTATTTGTTTCTTAGTCCACAGGAGACAGGGATCCAGAAGATATATATGCAAGGCAGTGTATTGAGACACAGAAAGTATTAGAATGCATACAATATATTTCTCATTCTTTTTTTCATATTTTTTATTTAACTTTTTACACATGTCACTCTCAGTTCCCTCTCCCTCCCCTCCCCCACACCTCCAATCCTCCCAACCCCTCACCCCTACTCCATCCCCTCTCTGCTCCCCAGGGAGGGCTATATTTCTCATTCTTTTAGTTTGTACTCAACCTGTGTTTTTTTTGGGGGGGGGGAGGGTTCATTGGTAGGATTACTTATCATAAAAACCGAGGACTCTGGAGAGTAAACACTATCCCCAAATGAATTCACAGGTCCCTTCTCAAAGGATTCTTATAGTCCCTACGTTAATGTGCTTAGAATACATTCCCTGCAGGCTAGATTATCACTCTCCCCACCAGAAATGTGAAACAGTAATTACTTGCCTTTCAAAGAGCCTCTTCTCTTGCTGCCTAAGATAGGAAACTTGCTTGTTCTTTGAATGCATATGGGTGAGGGCAGCACAGGGAACATTTGGAGGCTTCACACAATAGAAAGCTTCTTGGTCCTGGGCGTCCAGATATTGGCATAGCTCCACACTTGAGTTCAGAACAAAGGCACAATCAGTGTGGACCTGAGAGGTTCCGCTGACAAACATGCCAGTGAAGATGATTCTGTCATAGCCCTGTTTCCGAGCCCTCCAGAGAGCTGACACCCCTTCACTGGGATGCATGAGAAGAATAGACAGGGAGACGGGGCCTTCCCAGAACAGAGTGAAGCTGACAAGGTAGGTGCCGTTGTTGAAGTCTGTCACCTTTCCAGAAGCGCCGGCCTTCAGGGCTGGAGAGGACATCCTGGCCCTCAGGAAGTCCCCACCATACTGCTTCCTGTGTCCCAGGTGGTCCCTAGCTTCCAACAGCACATCCAGTTTGTCCCCCATGCAATATGTGTCTCGAGGGTTGAGGATGGTGGCTTTGCTGTGTGTGGCGCTGGTGGTGGTGTTGAAATGGGTAAAAGGTCTGGGAGGGATCTGTTTGTCTAGTTTCTCTAGGACCTCCTTGACTCTCATCTCTGTCTCTTTTAGTGGAACCGGTGGGCTCAGAGGCACTGTCGGGCACGAGGATTTCACGACCAAGTTCCAGCGACTGAAGGACACAGGCAACTTGAACGTAGCCCATATCTGAAAGGGCAGGCAAGAAATAGAATCGAGAACAAAGAAAAAGTTGCTTTTTGATGCAAAAAGTTTTGGTAGGTTAACCGCCTTTTGTCTTTTATAAAACAATGAGAGGTATAGAAATCTTATGACACTCAGACTCTGTGGTCACATCTGTTTCACACACAGACATCTTTGTTTAAACTGTCAGGATAGCTCTAGTTTTCAATGGCTTATTTTGGAAAACCCACTCAACCTCAAGGAGCCCTAAGTAAGATCTTCTTCAAAATGGTGGTGATACGGGGGTGGAGAGACGGCTGAGTAGCTAACAGTGCTTGCTGCTCCTAAAGGATTCAACTGCCAGTGACTAACAACCACCTGTAACTCCAGCTCCAGGAGATCCGACACCATTTTCTGGCTGCTATGGGTACTGCACTCACATAACTGTAAATTAGTTCTATCAACTGACTCTCAGGTCATAATTATGCACTTTGAATAGCTATTGTGAGGGTTATGGAATGACACTGGCTAATTTTATGTCAACTTGACACAAGCTATAGTTATCAGAGAGGAGGGAGCCTCAGTTGAGAAAATGCCCCCATAAGAATGGACTGTACACACATGTGTAGGACATTTTCATAATTAGTGATTGATGTGCAAGGGCTCAGCCCATTGTGGGTGGTGCCATCCCTGGGATGGTGGTCCTGGCTGCTATAAGAAAGCAGGCTGACCAAGCCACGGGGAGCAAGCCTGTAAGCAGCTCCCCTTCGTGACTTCTGAATCTGCTTCCAGGTTCTTGCCCTGTGGGAGTTCCTGTCCTGACCTCCTTCAATGACAGACTGTCACGTGGAAGTATAAAGCAAATAAACCGTTTTCTCCTCAAGTTGCTTTGGTCATGGTGTTTCATCATAGCAATAGAAACCTTAACTAGGACACATGGGAAACGTAAGAAAGGCATTGGACACATGACAGGTGGGGCTGTCTCTATTTCTGAAAGGATTTAAAAATATTCTAACACATCAAATAAAGTAACAACGAGATGGATCACTGCTATCAACCACTAGTTAGAATTTTCAGCACAGGCAAAGAAGCTTGCATGAACCCAATTCTTGTGTAGATAATAATAATAATAATAAACTGTCAACAAAACTGTTTTTAATAAAAGAGCTCTCCAAGAGTCGTGAAAGCTGAATCAGGACAGCTACAAGTTCAAGCTGGAGCTTGAGCTTTACAGTAAGAGAAGGGCCAACCTAAGCTACGGAGTGAAACTACGAAACAAAAAACTAAAACAAAATTCTGCAAACAAACCCATAAAAGCAAGTGACCACCACTACCAACAAAAGTCCCACCTCAAAGCAGAGGAACAGCTACTGAAACAGAGAAAACAAACATCAAAGCCAATAACAACGAAGTAACACGTGAGCTTTAAAGCCACAATGTCAGAAACAACACACAAAAGTTTGGATAGATATTTAGACAGCCGGCTACTGGAGGAGGGAAACGCTTCCTACACACTAATCATCCACAGTTTTTAAAAGGCAGATCATTTCAGGACACAGAAATGAATGTATTCTCTCCTCCAGAAGTTTCCTTGAGGCAGGTGCAAACACAGGCCACGGACAGTGCGAAACAATACCTGCACTTGTTCTCAAGCAGCCCAGAACAAAGTCTGTGTATAAGTGCACACGTCAATAGCTGCCTTATAAAGCTTGCCATCCCTCATGATTTCCTATCTCTGAGAAGCACCCTCTGTCCTGGGTCCCAGTTTATACATGAAATGTTTGGGCACGTTAACAATCGTCAGCTACAATGGTTCATTAATGCTGCTTGGTAAGCCATAATATTGAGCAAGCCCCATCTCCATTGCTGCTTACACAATATACACACAATATCAAGTAAAACAGAAAAAGGGATTAATTCCTACCTCCGATGGGTTTCTGAAAACTGTAAAAGAGACCCAGAAGATAACTATAAACAGCAGCACCCACAGTGACTTCTGACTGGTCATCATTTTCACGGTTTGAATCCTACAAGACAATCACAGAAACTTAACACATAATGAAACAGAAAGGAAATCAGCAAATGTGTGACAGACTCTGGCTCTTGCTACTTTGCTCCTCAGTTCAGTTATTCTAAAGGTGACATCTTGGCTCTTCCGGTTGCCCCTGCTGTCATTCTGTTAGCTATCAGGTTGGAGCCCACCAACAGCTAAGATACCAGGAACCTGAAGGAGGCAGGACACTCACGTTTAGGTGAATCCTCCAGGCTACGTCACCTCAGGTTCTCTTTACTCATAACCCCAAAGAGCAGACCAAACACCTCACAAACAATGCTTCTGAGAACCACGAGAAGGTCTAAAAGACGTTGGTCCACCAGCTTTTCTTGGAGCACCTTTCAGCCTTCAAAAGAATTGCTTTAAAACTCTTACCTGTTACTTTCTAAAAATCTCGAAGCTTTAGTCAGTTTCTCCCTCTGTTTATATGAACATTTGTCTTTGATCTGAAGCCTGAGGTGTCTTTTCCAGGTTAGATTATCTGGGCGGGGTTACCGCTCAACAGTACAGATCCTGGGCATCAGCCCAGGGATGTAAGAAAAGGCAAACCATGCTACTTGCATATCACCTTTATAAAACTTTCTACCCCTCAAAACTCACTGTCTTCTTAGAGTCACCATTTGCTTTGGATTCCTGGTTTACACACAAAAGGATTTAGCACCCAAGAACAAATATTGCCCCTTACCCCCTTTACTCCTGGTTTTCATACCTTTACTATAAAGGCCGGGTTTGGTCTCATTTCTAAGAACTGGGTGAGCTTGGTGGGGAGGCTCCTTCTATGGCCATAGGGTGCTACATGTCTTCCTGCATCAAAACACATCACAGATACAAGCTGTAGGACACAGGGTGGAAGGTACTCTTCAGTGAGATTCATGCCCTTCACCCTAAGGAGGGATCTAGATGACAAAACTGAAAGTCAAGCAGAGGCTGAAATGAGGGGCAGAGCACTCTGCACGATCCAGAAATATGATTGCAATGCACGGGGACATCGGGGGATCTCAGTCTGATAAGTAGATGGTAAATGCTCCCGTGGGGAGTTGAACTTGGGAGTTTCTGTCTGAGTCGTGCTGTGAAGACCCAGTTACCAAGATTGAAACACTGCATTATTCTGTCAACAGTACACTATGTGAAATGGTAATGAAAGGGAAACCACCTCAAATGTGACGTAGAGAAAATAGTCATATGGATTACATCTCCATCTAACAGGGTCACAGAGTCATAGGTTTGAAATCACCTGGGATCTGTGTTCCTATTCAGAGAAAAGAGTCCCAGGAAGAGTAGGTGCCTTGGACACATTCGCCGGGCCCATCGGAAACAGCAGTTGGTCTGTTGGAGTCTCCTTCATAGGTCTTGTTTACACAGCACTTTATAAGAGCTTATGAGCATTTGAACATGTTACTAACCTTCCTATCTTTTTGTTGTTTTTTGTAGAGTCTCACGTAGCCCACTCCGGATCAAGCTGCTTTCATGGTATAACCTCAAAAACAACAAACAAACAAACAAAAACATAAAACCAGAGAAGCTAGACTCTAATCTTCTTTCAGAAAGAAAACTCTGACTTTTTAACATTGTTAGTCATGTTCTGTCAAATGAGCCATAGCAATACTTTGTTTCCATACAACGGCTTTTGAAAAAAAACTCCTTTAACTTTATGTGACTGGGTTGGCCCAGACAATGGAGCTAAGTGAACATGGACCATTATACTAAAAGACACATTTTGTCCTTTGAGTTGTTGGGGTCAGGCATTTTGTCATGGCAGCAATGATCAAAATAACTAATACAGAAATGCTGCGAGTCCAGGGAGAAGACTGATAGCTCTCTTTCACAAATCTCAGGCAGATTTTCAAATGTGTAAAACTCAAAGTTACACAAAACTAGCTGCATATGTTCTGCATACTAGTCATCCTGTTGTTCATGATGACAATTCATCACCCATGAAAATGAGAAATGAATCTGAAAGTCCATGTGACTTTTATTTGAACTCACCGAACTTGGGAAATTTCAATACTAGCAGCATGCCTCTCGTGTTTTCTCTTATTCTGGAAAGATCTCTTAACCTTCTAGTCAAGGAGGCAGATCTGCTTGTTCAGATACTGACATGGTTGGTTTCTGGAACAACTCTAATGGATTCTGAACCTCAGGAGACAGAGTCACTTGGATGCAGACATCAGCCACTAGCATCCGAGTTGGATTATAAAAGGATGCATGTTTAAAGTGCAGTGGCTCTCCACAGGACTTATTACTTCTCTGGAGGTGATCGTGCCTGATTCTCAGTATGGACTTGAATGTCTTCTCTCAAGCTGTCCTGCAGAGAACATTGAAGGAGTATTTCTGTTCTGGTTTAGGTGGCCACCCATGTGTTATTGAAAATTTGGATCAGCAAGAAGAAGAAATGAAGCTCAACTGCCCAGGCAGCTCTGGCTGGTGCAGGCTATAAAGACCAATGTGTTAGGGTTAAACAGCTTGGCCTGGCCTGGGATGTTGATGTCTGAGACTTGTATTATTTGCAACTGAGCAAACACTGTCTTGGAATGTAGTGATGATGGACTATTGTGTAACCACCTTTTAGAAGCCCTGGTGCAACCTGACCCTCTGTTTATAGGGTGTAGACCTTTCTAAAGGAAATACTCTCTGTTGTCATTTATTCTAGAAAGACCTCTATCCTAGGGAGGAACTGAGAACTTGGAGGGTGTCCTAATTTCATGCTGTTCCTATGATAAATGCTCCTACCAAAAGCAACTTGTGAAAGGGCGGGGACTGTTTCCCCTCACACTTGTAGGTCACAGTCCATCGCCAAAGAAAGTCAGGTAAGGAACTCAAGGAAGGAGCATGGAGACAGGAACTATAGAGGAGCACTGCTTGCTGGCTCACTCTCTGGTTCCTCTCTTCTCTTCTTAGGCTGCTTTCTTTTACTTCCCAGGACACTGAAGTAGACTGGGCACACTCCAATATCAGTTAATAACATAATTCCTCCATAGACATGCCTATACACTGATCTGTTTAATCCCTCACTGTTCTGTAAGACGGCTCTAGGCTGTGCTGGGGTACAAAGCTAAGTAGGTCAGAAGGTCCTAGATTTAGGAGGTGGGATACTGGGCATCACTTTGGCCTGGAACACAAGGCAAAAGGATTCTTAAATGCTCCTTGTTGAAGGATAAGCTGTGCCCAGGGAGATGCAGGTAAAAACCCAGGTTGGGCTCTGAGTCTTCAAGTGTAAAGGTTAATAGAGCTGTTCAATTATTTTCTTTTCTTTCTTTTGTTTTTGTTTTGTTTTTTGAGACAGGGTTTCTCTGTGTAATTTTGAAGCCTATCCTGGCACTAGCTCTGTAGCCCAGGCTGGCCTCAAACTCACAGAGATCCACTTGCCTCTGTCTCCTGAGTGCTGGGATTAAAGGCATGAGCCTCCAACGCCTGGCTGCAATTATTTTCTTGCTTTATAATTTCATTCTGATATGTTTGGACTGAGAGTAACAGATTCTTATCAAGTATTATAACCCTAAGCAACAAAAACAAAGAAAACAAACAGACAAAAGCTGGGCATGTTGGCACACAGATTAATCCCAACATATGCCTGGCAGATCTCTGTGTAGTAGGCACAGAGGTCTCTGTGCTCAGAGACATGCACAAGAGGAACTTGGAATGCTAAGTTCAAATGGTTGTTCCTTTTTTTCATCCAAGGCTTGGTTTCTCTGTGTAGTTCCAGCTGTCCTGAAACTCACTATTTAGACCAGGCTGGCCTCAAACTCAGATATCTTCCTGCCTCTGCTTCCTGTGTGCCAGTATTAAAGGTGTGCACCACCACCATTGTTTCTCTAAGAGACGGAATGGACAGAGGCTGGAGAGGATGTGCTTTCTAGCCTCGTGACCTTTTCTTTATCTCTATGGCCAGAGATTTTATGTCACTGAAAATAAATTATCCTTGTTAGGGTTTATTGTTGTAAAGAAACACCTTGACCATAGCAACTATCTTGTTTGTTTGTTTTTAGAGACAGGGTTACTCTGGTTGTTCTGGAACTTGCTTTGTAGACCAGAGTGGCCTTGAACTCACAGAAATGGTGCTGGAGAAGGAACCTCTACATCTTGATAGGCAGGCAACACGAAGTAGACTGTCTCACTGGGAGTAGCTTGAGCATAGGAGACCTCAAAGCCCACCCCCATAGTGACACACTTCCTCTAACAATGTCACAACTACTCCAGCAAAACCACACCTCCTAATAGTGCCACTCCCTCTGGGGGCCATTTTCTTTCAAACCACATTCCACTCTCTGGCCCCCAAAAGCTTGAAGCCATATAATAAAGGAAAAATTCATTCAGTCCAACTTCCAAAGTCCCATAGTCTGTAAAAGTCTCCAACTTATTTAAAAGTATAAAGTTCAGAGTCTCTTCTAAAATCCATGTAATATCTTAACTGTAATTCCCTGTAAAATCAAAACCAAAGAGCAGATCACATACTTCCAACATATAATGGCATAGTCTATAATTACTGTTTCAGAATATAAGGAAGGGAGCACCGTGAAGAAATACTGAACCAAAGCAAAACCAATAACCAGCTGGGAAAACTCCAAACTCTGCATCTCCATGTCTGATGTCAAAATGAACTTCAGATCACTCATTTCAGCTGTGTTGACTGCAACACACTTATCTCTCTTGGGCTGGTTCCACTGCCTGTTAGCAGCTTTCCTTGGCAGGTATCCCACAACTGTGGCATCTCTAATATCTTGGAGTCTCCAAGACAATCCAGGCTTCAACTTCACAGCTTCACTAAATGGTCTCTCTAGGCCTCCATGCAGGGACATCACTGACACATGCCTGGTCTCAGTGGCTTTCCGTAGTTGCTCCTAGAATCTAAAGCCAGAATCATGTGACCGAAGTTGCCAAGTTCTGCTGCTTGCTGGGGCTAGAACATGGCCCCCTCATTCAATTACATTGTCACCAGCTTTCTGTTCTCCAGCTTAACTGCCTAAGTTTGGCTGTCCTGAAATTGGATCTGTAGACCAGGTTGTACTCAAACTCAGAGATCCACTAGTCTCTATCTTACCAGTGCTGGGATTAAAGGCATGTACCACCACAACTGTCTCAAAGCTTTTCTTTAATCCTTTTTCACAAGTTAAAAACTTAGATGGGAGGGATCTTGCCTAGGGGTCACCACTCCCTTTATTCCATTTCTTAATCTGTTTATCTCCTTGAATACAGGATTTAGCTTCTTTCCACTTTCTAGTGCTTCTTTTCTCCTCAAATATTTTTCCTTGCTCAGTTTGCTCCTTTTCATTATAGATATTTATTAGAGTTAACAGTAGTAACTACACAACACAGTCTATACTAGGCAGTTTTGAATTTTCCTCTGTCAACACAATTAATTCAAAACCCTTCACTGTAATCTCAGGCAAAATTTTTAGACAAGGGCAAAAAGCATTCATATTCTTCACCCAAAATATCATAAGAATGATCTCTATGCAACATACTAAAATTCTTCTCCTCTGAAACCTCTTGAGCCAGCCCCAGACAGTTTTATTCACTCTTAGATCTACTGTTTTCCATGGTCTTACTAGTCTGGCCCTTAAGCAGTGCTTAAAGCATCAACTCCTTTTCTAACCCAAAGCACCAAAGTCTGAATTCTTCTTAGTCTTATAAAAGCAAACATTTAATTGCAGTGGTGGCTTACATTTTCAGAGGTTTAGTTCATTATCATCAAGGCAAGGAGGATAGCAGCATGCAGGCAGATGCAGTGCTGGAGAAGGAACTGCTACACGTTGATACGCAGGCAACAGGAAGTGGACTGTCTCACTGGGAGTAGCTTGAGCACAGGAGACCTCAAAACCCACCCCCACAGGGACACACTTCCTCTCGCAAGACCATACCTACTCCAACAAAGCCACACCTTTTAGCAGTCCCACTCCCTTTGGAGGTCATTTTCTTTCAAACCACCACAACTCTTTTCTCAGATATAGAGCTACCTTTTAGAAAAGGCTTTAGAATGAACAATCTAAAGGTGTGAGTGAAACAGAGAAAACCTCTATGGCAAAGTAGCCCTTACTTGAAACATTATACAGATAAGAAATTGAAGGCCTTGGTATGTTGAGGGCAGACTAGCTGTAAACTTTAAATCCGGCCCAATTCCTATACAAATTAGCACAGCTCCCCACACTAATGACCTAGCACTAGGAAGCACATGTACATTTAAAGCATAATTGTTTGGTTTAGGAAAGGAGCTGCCAAAAAAAATCTACCCTTCAGAAGTGAGCTTATAGGGAGAGAGAGCCTTGTAACTGTGGAGAACTGAGGTGGGAGAGCATTGGAAAGGAAGGGGCATCCAGTCAGAAACAGTATGGCAGGTTCCACAGGGAGAGAAAGGGTTCTCTTCAAATTCCAGATGTGATGGCTTAGGAAATAAACCTGTCACCAAGGTTTCTGACCCTAGGGAGCTGAAAGGAGAGAAGCAAATCCTAAAAG